AAAAACGTTTCCACGATACCTAAGATTCACTACAGCTAACAAAACCAACGTTGCTTCTCAATCTGTTTACCCACCTTCATCGTCCTCTTAGCAGTTTAGATTTCCATTACCCCCAGATGGCAATAACGCCCATCTCAACGACCGTTGGCTCACATAAAGAAGGCACAGTAACTTCAGTAATACTAACTGTATTCAGCAATAGAATGTTTGTTTAGATGGAGAAAGCAGTGAAAGCTTCCTCTTCGAGCACCTTTTCTTCTTGATACTCTAAATAATCTAAGACTTCAATAAACTGAAATATCAAAAAAATTAGAGAACAGATAATTAGTGCCACACTTGCTACCAAAGCTGATTACCTTTACTCCAAAACCTATTTGAAAACCAAACCAATACTTGTCATCAAATCAAGCGCCAATAACCTCCTTGGCTCTCAATCTCGACAAGAACTACTTCTACAAAAAGAAACTTTTCTAAGAAGCCTGAAGCAGACAAAGGCGACGCTAATAAACTACCATTTCAACATGTAAAAATAACTCATATATTCAACTCTTATTTTGGTAAACATCCTCCCCATTAAAGGAGCATTAAGATACGAAATAAAATCCTCACCATAAAATCTATAAATTACAGGTTCACGCGAAATAAAATGGAAAATAAAATGCCTTTATTTCTTTTACACATAAGAACTTACATACCTGTACAAACTTTTCACTAAAATTATTAGAATGATTAAGGCTACTGTATACCCTTTTTCAACGTTAAAACCGAATTTAAAGGCAAGCTTTCAAATTCTTCCTAACATTAAATCAAACAACTTCTTCACTTCAAAGAAACTAACACGAGCAGACCCATGAGCAAATGAGTGATATACTTCAGATAATGCCACAAAGATCAGCACTTGAGAAGAAACAACTAGAAAAATGTTAATAAATCTGCTGATCTAAAACAGTGAAGTTAAAACTCAAGTTTAATCAACATATCAACAGCAAATACATTTTCCCCTATACACAGAGTTTTAGACATAACAATAAGTATTAGGCACTTGCAAAATTGAAATTCCTTACCTCGCAGTTTTCGCTATTATAACTCAGTAAAACATAAATGAGAAGCGCCACCTTCATATGCAGTTAAAAAAATTTGCTTATAACAAATAAACGCTCTAAAACTTTCACCATTCATAATATCAATGGAAAGAAGGAAAGTAACAGTTGCACAAAAAAGGAGAAGGATGTTTCATCAAAAAATTTCTTAAAAGCTATGTTAAGCAACTTCCTTCTCCTAAGCACAGTTAAAAAAAACAAACCCCTACTGCAAAAGTAATGTTGCAAGCATCTATTACGTACATACGTCGCCAGAAAAAAATTTTCTCCAAAATGGCAAGGTTTTAATTATTTTCTAGAACACCTTGGAACCAGTTTTCGACGCTGACCTCAAAACCTTCTCTACAGCGAACAATAAATGGTGTTTCCTGAAAAGATATCTTCCTCTAATATGAAAATTGGTGACTTGATCTACCTGCTTCTAATAATCATAAGTTGTGGAAATTATTTTCAAAAAACTACACTTTATGTTCACGACTTTGAACCTGGGAAAATAAAACAGTTAAAAACACCAAAAAAAAAAAAAGAATACCAAAAGAAATAGATAATCTCGTCTTTCATCTGGTTTCTTCTTCAGACAATAAGATAAGAACGAGCAGAACTCCTCGCTGTAATTATCTGATGGTAATAATTGAGGTGGCGGATCATTGTTTATCTTTGTCAGTAACTCGAAGTCGTTTTTGCATCCATCATATGGATGCCTGCCAGTGGCCAATTCCAAAAGAGTTATCCCAAGACTCCAAACATCTGCCTTAATTCCGTAATTGCCGGTGCTAGAACCAACACGTTCCGGCTAAAACAGTCAAACACTTAAAAGTTCAGTATAACCTGTTACAAGTTGAACTCCATACTGGGAACGTAAAAGCAGATAAAGTAACGCACCGCTAGATATGCAGTACAACCTTTCGTATTTGTAGCAGCTCTACTGGAATCAATAAGCCGCCCTGATATCCCAAAATCACACATTTTAATCGTCCCTCGTAAATCTATTAAGATATTAGAAGGCTTCACATCTCGATGCATAATCATCTAGAAAAACAAAGACTAGGTAGTAAAAAGATTTCTTTTGCAAAATGTCTCATCAGGAAATTTAGTTGCCTTTACATTCATAATCCAAAAATAACAGGAAAACCAAAAATAATTCTACTGACACTGAAAAATTTAAACACTGAAGATTCTTACACGCTCCTTCAGATACTGTAGAGCTTTTAAAGCGGAAATCGTAATTTGCCTAACAATATTTTCGGGGAATTTGTGAGCTCTAATTAACAGTTTCTCCAAACACATGGTCATCATCTCCATACAAATACGTACTTCCGACTAAATTTATAATGACTGATACATTTCCAGTAAAAAAATTGAAAAAGTGGAGCAACGCATCAACTGGAATAACTGGGAATTCTGACCTCGTACACAAAGCAACCATAACATTTGACTATATAAGGGCAGTCGTGAGCTTGCATAATAACGTCCATATCCATAACGGTTCTTTTATTGCTGTCAGCAGAATCGGTCAAAGGAATAATCTAAATAAGAAACCATCATGCTTTATTTCTCAGACTTTTCAAAAGAATGGTTCCGTCCTGCTTTCCCCTTTACACCTTAGTTACCAAAAAAATAAGAACGTTTTAAGATGTATACTAGCACTCGCTTAATTAAGTTAATTTTGACATACCTTACTGCTCTTTACAGCAACAGCGCAAAAAGCATTAAAAAAGATAAGCTTCAACTACCACATAGCTTTTTAAAAAACTATAAGCACATTTGAAACTGAAAAAAGCAGATGTAAAGAATAATAATTCCCAACTCTTTACCAAGGCACTAGTAAAAATATCATTCTTTGAGCCACTCAGATTGAAAAAACTTCCCAAACCAAAGTGTGAAAAAGTAAAAATAAAAAGTAGTTGATCAAAGTGAAAGGCCAAGAATAATAGTAATAACATTAACAAATAATAAGAATTAAAATAACAACGTGGAAAATAACAACAATACTTTTTTAAACGTCAGGAAAAAGTGAAAACAAATAAGTTTCTTCTCAAAAAAAAATTTATGAGACAGTAGCTGAAGTGAAAAATTGGTATTTCTTAGTAATATCTATACTTAGCAATCACACATAGCAGAAAAATGTCTATTATCACGATGCAGACTGTTTGGCAATGAAAATGTTACCAGCAAAAATAAAACTTGGAATAAATCAGCTTATAACTTCAATTTTTAACCATAATTTATACTACACCTGCCCAACTTCCCAAAAAGCCGAAAACCTTCAAGAAGTATCACAACAACTCAGTAAAATTATTTTAAAAAATCTTCTAAAAAATGTTATTAAAATCCAAATAACAAATCTCGCAAAAGAATCTTCACAATTAAGTGTAAACAACTTTTAAGTACTTCTAAAAGTTAAATAAAATCTCATATAAAACGACTAACTCAAGCAATGTTGAATTAGATGCTTTTAAAAAATCATCCTTGCAATGTCTCAAAAACTTAAAAATTTCTGATTTTTAGATGCGCAAAATGACTGAGGCTAAATAAAATAACTCCATCCGCTCAAATATTAAGCCCTATCAATTTCTGTTCTACAGAGCCGTACGTGAAAGTTAAGCTTAGTCACCCTGGGTAAGATATAAATTTTGCTATTCTATAATTCAGATCCATATAAGCAAAATGACATTCGGCTCATAAAATAAATATATTAATCAGTAATTATCCCATTACAATATATTGCACTAAAAGTCCTAAACTCGTGCGTTCAAATCAAATAAAAAACTGTTTTAAGTAAAAATTTATGCTTCAAAAGATGAAAATCCCCAAGTAACAGCTCAGTATGAAAAATGTCACACGGCGAACAAAAAGAGTCCAAAAAGTTTACTCTAACTGCTGCTTCTCAGTACTTAACTGTCAAACGTTTACCCAAAGCAGAAAAATGCAAAATTTGAATTAAAAGGAAGAAACTACATCGAGACAACACTAGACATATCAAAACAGTCAGTTTTTCCAAATTTTATCAGGTAACTTCTGGTCTTACCAGAGCCAACGAGTACGCGGTCAGAAGCTGTTACATCTACTTCTTGAAGTCACGAACTAACAAACAACTTAATTTCAAACCCTACACAGTTTCAATAACCTAACTCGTAGAAAAACCTTCTCAATGTTCATTATGCAGAGTGCCGAATAACTCAACTGCAAATTACAGCAGAACGTAGATATAATACAGAGGTTTAAACGAGTTAAGTCAGATGTAGTGCACATAACCTATTAAAAAAATTATGCTCTAAAAAAGGAAACTGCTGAAACTGAGTGCAAATATCTTTCTAAAGAAGTATGCATTTCATATAAGAAGAATTTAGTAACTTTATGCCATTACAGTAATAGGATGTATTACAACTAGTACTGGCTACAACGAAAAATATGACCTATTGCTTAAAAAACCACTTCCGTTCACATCATACTGCTGCTCAGATCAACTAAATTACATTCAAAAAAAAAGTTAGGTAAAAGGAAATCCCAATCATAAAGCAATTTAACCTATGCATTAAAATGCAACAGCAGAAATACACTATAAGTAAAAAAATATTCATTCTAATCAAATACTGAGAATAACAAAAAAATTTACTGCTTAACAGTTAAAAAACTTTTAAGTTTTAGTTATACACAATGTTCTTGCTGAGCTTCTCAGCTAAAACGAGCCAAATATTTCCCCTATTAGTCCACAGGGCACTTAGGCCAAACTCCTAATTAGAACTTAGTCCAGTGTAATACTTGATGAAAAAAACTCTTCAGAAGCAAAATTTAGAGTAGTACTAACTTTAACTGCCATAAGTGTATTCGTTTTTTTACATCGAGCCTTCCTAACTGCTCCGAAAGCACCTCTTCCCAAATCAGACAATTCTTCGATGTCTGATTTGTCGCAATAGAATTCCTTTCCCACAATTGTAAGGATACCTGATCTGCTTTTGATTTCATTGTATTTTTGTTCCACCTGTAATGTCACAGATTAGTCAAATGAAGACATAAAGTGGAACATATGTCATCTGATATACAAGGAAATAGCCTTAAAGCAACTAACCAATTCATCAGCCAAAAATCTCTGTAATTCTGGTTGTTGGTTGGGAATAGATATAGGTCCTGCTAGACAAGGACGCCTCAGTCTAAAAATCAATGCAGATTTAAACGTGAAATACTTAATTATTATTCATAAAAACTAAAGAAGAAAAAGTTTAGATATCCTAGTACTGTTAAAGCTCAGCTGGAGTTGACGTACCAGT